GCTGCGATGCGGGTGGGGAGCGGACGGGGGCAAGGCTGGCCTGGGGGCGCCTGCCCGCGCTTCGAGGGTGTCAGGGAGGGCGGCGCCTGGCACCCAGTGGGCGCTTGATGCATGCGAGACGTTCTGAACCCACTGATGTGGCAGCTGGCTATTGGGGAGGGGGAAAGTGGGGGCTGGAAGGGGAGACAAGGGGGTGGAAGTCACAGCAAGAGCCGAGGCAGGTCGGGGAGGGCCTGGGGAGGAAGAGAGGGCAGGAAGGGGCTGGATGTTGGGGTGCAGCCCCTGGAGATCCCGTCCCCCTCCCCTTTCGGTTCATCTCCTTCCTGACTCACCCTCAGCAGCTGGATGACCCGAGGCGAGTACCAGCACCCTGTGTGCCAGGCTCCCGGTCTTGGAAACTGCACCACCCTCCTTTAAGGCGGGACCCACTGGATTCTGGGTTCCCGGGTACCAAGGAAGGAGCCTTGGGGCCTGCGGTGGGGCCGGAACTGTGTTTCAGAAGGGAAGCAGTGTGCATGCACCCGCGTGTGCAGGGCTGTTGCCACCTCCGCGGGGTTGCATCCTTGGACTTAAATGGGTAAAATGATTTACAGGAAATCTGCCCCCTCCACCCCCGCGGCTGTGAGCTCAGCCCTGAAGACACGGACACGCGGCCTTGGGCCCTCCCTTCTTTCAAGGGTGCCCCAGAGATCGGGGGGTCTTCCAGAGAAGGCCTCTCTGTGCCTCTTTGTCTGAGGTGGGGACATTGTGCTGTGCTGCCGGAGGGTCCCAGTGCCTTTCTGAGGTCGTTTTGTTTTTTTTTTTTTTTTTTTTGGTCTTCAAGCCTCCCAGAGTCTTAAGATGTCTGAGAGCTATGGAGGTGACCTAAGACCCTGGAACGTTATTTCATGTCTGCTGGACCTTGCTCTGTGGGCTCTGTCAGGGGCCTTGCTCCAGGTGGTGTTGATTGGCACGAATTTTTCTCTTTCCCAACTGTAGGAATCGTTATCTGGCATCTGCCAAAACTAGCTTATATCTGGTGATTTGAATCTGTATGGTTTGAATATAAAAAGGGCGGCAGGTAGATAACCACTCCCTTCGCTTCCAGAATGTTCTGGTGTTACGAAAGGGGGGCTTTCGGCCCTGCTTGCCC